TCTTATGCAAGCACAGCTGCTTCCTAAGTCATCTAGAAGTAGAGCTTGCATTTTGATAGGACATTCCAAGAAAATAATCCTTATGTCTGAAAGCCCATCCCTATTTACAGTAAAAAAAAAAAAAAAAAAAAGCTTTCTTAATCAGCATGGAAGATTTTTGAGCAGCATATCCCTGGGAGTGAATGTAGGAACACAGATGTTTCTTCAGCATTTGCTTGTGTATGACTGCTGATTCCCTTTTCATAGTTTGGTTTGTTACAGTTGTCTTTTGGGTTGTAAATGGTTATCTTTTTTTTTTTTTTTACTGTAAATAGGGATGGGCTTTCAGACATAAGGATTATTTTCTTGGAATGTCCTATCAAAATGCAAGCTCTACTTCTAGATGACTTAGGAAGCAGCTGTGCTTGCATAAGAAGAAGAAAACATTGCAGAGCAAGGAAACTGCCACTAAGATGGGTGAACAGGAGTTGTATCTACAGTTGGGAAGAGAAAGAGTATACCGTAAATAGTTTGATGGTGGGAGAATGATTGGGCCATGGCTGCGTTGAAAAAACATTTGGATCTGTCCAAGCAAGCAGAAGGCATGCTTTTCATGAAAGTTGGTGCCTCTTAAAACAAAGCCAATGGTTTATTTTGTGAAGGCAACCAAAAACTAGCTGACTTGTTCCCAGTACAAACAGTTGGTGGTCTGCTCAGGAACACATCCCATAGAATTGACTGGAATGGACATGTCATTTTGCCTAGAGCTGCAGTAAACAGGTAGGGAAGTGGGTAATAGAATGAACAGGTTAAGTTGATGGGAAGGGTGGGAAGTGAGAATACGTTTAATGGAAATAGAGTGGTCTCAGAAAAAAAATGATGGGGAAGAAGAGCTAGCTGGAAAAGTTGAGGAAGAAAAAGATGATGAGGGACTGTTGGCATAATAGACATTTTCCTGGTGTCTAAAATGTAGGAGCCTAAATAAGGGATTTGCTTGCTTGGAAGCTACCTGGAGAACTAAACGGGATGATCATATTGTAGTTGCAGTGGGCCCATTACTACCTAGCTGTTCCATCCTAAGCCTGTGATATCCGGGCTACAACATCTGGGCAACCAGTAGATATTAGCAAAGAGAAGCAGAAAACCTCGTTCTTGTCGGCCAGCTTGTGTTTGACTGGATTTATGCAGCCAGATACGGTAGGCCTACTTGGCCACAGCACCAACGTGGCTGATGCAAGCTCTCAATTAGCTAAGAAATCTGTCCTTGTTTATAGATTCTTGCACAGAGACTTTGCCAAGAGTTTAGCAAACAGCACCCAAACCTCTGGACTGTGAAATAATAATAGTAAAAAAAAAAAATCCTGGAGCACAAAAGCTCAGGAGTCTTCTGAGCAAAGCAGTCAAGGATTCCTGTTGTAACAGCTCCTTGCTCTGTTGAAGCGTCTGCCTTTCCATGCAGAGCTATAATTCCCTATTAAGAATAAGAATGTTTCTACTGTATTTAAGGGGAATGTGTCAGCTGCTGCGGGAAGTTCCTCTCACATGTAAACACTAAGCCTTCCCATGTGTGACTTATTCCAACTTGTATACTCAATAAAAGTTTAACATGATATATTTCTGAGCCTTTGCATATTTATTGAGTGGTGTTCTTGGATTAGGACTCGGGGAGAGGCGTCCACTCAGCAGCTGAGAAGGAAAGGACTCAAAACCAGGATCACTCACTTGTTCCACATTCCAAATAAATAAAATTAGTAACTTCAATGCCTAGGAAGGGACTTCATGCCTACTTTCAAATCAGCTCGCTGCATCATTATTTCAGAACATTCACTGCTTTATGCTCCAAATATTTTGTGTTATCTGTTCTTTAAAAAGATTGCTTTAGCATGTAAAGTTTTTTTTTTAATGAACAAATGTGAGAAAAAGTGTCTCAGCATTACACATAACCGCTGCATCCAAGTAATAGTTAACTAAGATTATTTTTCACCCAATTTTCCTGCTATGTATATGTATACATTAACAAAAAGCAAAAGAAATAGGAATAACTGAATCTCGGGGGAATAGAATGTGTATTTGATTCATAGGAAATGCAGTAAAACAGAACCACATTTTGGCAAATTCATCCTATTCCCCTGAGTTTTGCGGCATGTGCCAATTTCTCAGAGCAGCATTCCAGCTAAACATTTTGTGTTTAGACAGTGATAATCCAAGAGCAGAGTTCCAAACCACAGGTATCTCCTTTTGTGACCTGGTTTGTGGATGAAACCCTGCTCTGAGAAAATTGCTCTGAGAATAGGATGAATTTGCCAAAATGTGCTTCTGCAATACTGAAACACACTTCACCAGGAACAAAAGACAATGTATCCTGTAGGCCAGTGTTTCTCAACCTTGGCTGCTTTAAGCTGTGTGGACTTCAACTCCCAGAATTCCCCA